GTTTTAACAAACTCAATAAGCAAAGAGCGAAAAGCAACCGGTTACGATGACAGTTCGACGGTGAATGAATGAATTTGACAGTTGATAATCTCATTTGCCTATGTAAACGGGTAGATTATTGAACAAGCTTGTAACGAGATTAAGTTCATATGTAAACATACTATCAGTCTCGAATATCGAGAGTATCGATATTTCGAAACCGATCACTGCTTGTATCACTAGTGCCCAATTGAATTTCGAACAGTGATGCCATTTATAGCGTAAATATCGTGCAAAATCGTAATATTTTTTACTGTTTTATTGCAAAAAAACATAAAAGTAGATAACGCGCCATATATGTATATTCGTAAATTGGAAGAAAAACACGAATTTAAAGACATTTCCCGTGAAAAATGTGTACGTTTTCGGAAAAGGTGCTGGTTTGAACATTTACCGCATAAAGAAGGTACTTAGTTTTATGAAGTGCTAGAAGTGACAGGTTGTTCATTAAGTTTTGTCTTTTGATAACAGAGGCGTTGATACTAGCGCAATGTTTTTTTTTTTTTTTTTTTTTTTTTTTTTTTTTTTTTTTTTTTTTTTTTTTTTTTTTTTTTTTTTTTTTTTTTTTTTTTTTGTTTTTTGGTTTGTTGGTACACTCTTCATATGAAGGTGTGAAGTCTCATTTCAATCTGTCAATTTATTCCTTGTTTACAAGCCATTTAGTGTCGCCATTTCACGGTATTTTTATACAATGCAAATACTTGGATATCGTATTTTTCTTCTTTATTGCCGTAGAAACCGCTTACGCATGACCTAGCCAGCGTAGCCGGGGTCTTTGAATTTGCTGAACTATATGAGTATCTCATACAGCTCTCTGCTCCGTAGAATGCGATATTCGCCGTGGCCAACGCGCAAAGGACTATACATTTTTCGCAGAACCTTTCTCTCTAAAACTCGCAACGTCGACACGTCAGATGTTGTTATCGTCCTTATAGAGTTTAATTTTTGTTCGTCGAGAGAGGACTTTACTTCTCAATTGCCTACTTTGTCCGAAGTAGCACCTATTGGTGAGAGTTATTGTGCGTTAGATTTCGAGGCTGACATTTTTGATGGTGTTGCTACTGTTTCCAAGGTAAAAGTGACGTGGGAGCCTAGTCGTGAGTACGACGGCTGTTTGTTTGATGTAAGCAGCAGATTGAAGAAGTCGCACGGTAAGGAGTCGCCATGTCTGAAACCTCCTTTCGAACGGCTCGTTGGGATGCTTTCATCCGAACTTATTTTACAAAGAATCTGATGCATCTGATGATGATCGTGAAAAGCTCGACCAGCTATCCATTGGCCCCCACCGCAGTGTTGTTCTTCAGGCAATGGAAAGTCTGCTCCATCGTCATCGATTGGGGAATCGGGTTCGCCTTCTCTTGGCGTTATGCATTCACTGCATTCAGAAGGCTAGAGAAGTGTTCCCTCCATAATTTCAGTATGCTATGGGCATCGGTTACTAGATCACCACTTTGGGTTCTACAACAGTATGCATTTTTTCGTAAAATTTTCGATCATTACGCCTGTCGACCAGCTTGTCAAGCTCTTCATTCTCAC